GAGGACGGAGTTGGACTAGAAGACCTCCAAGGTCCCTTCCAACTCTGTTATTCTGCAATTCAATTATTGTTATAAAGGTCATAACTGCTTTTATTATAACAGCTGTAAAAATAGAACATTGCATGTCTGAATGTGCTTCCCCTCTCTTACTTTATCTTCTTGTGAACTTGGGAAGGACTTGTGTGGAGTTTCTCATGTTCTTGGCCCAGGCTCTGCCCCCTCTTCTCTGATCTTTGCCTTGGTATTGGCTCCTCTTCCTGTCTTTCAAGATCATTCCCTAGGAAATAACTAAGAAAGGATAAGGATTTGCTGCTTTGAAAATACTAACGTTTTGTTACAAACTATTATGTCAAAGACGTTCATAATAATAAAAACATTTTTTGTGATAGGAAGACAACATAAAGACACAAACAACCATTGTGTCACACTTGGTTGAAATGTGGTTACCACCTTGTTAAAAACCTTTGGAATTTTGAGAGAACTTGGAGGAATCAAACCACCAATTTGGGGTGAGGGTACGGAGCATTGTTGATTTTAAAAAAACCCAGCCCAAATCAACTTGGGGAAATTTATTTTACTCAAAATAATTTAACTTACAAAATTATAGGTTCTCAAATTTTTATCATCTGGGAACAAAACATCAATTATTAGGTTAAGCAGGAGGAGCTGACAAAAGCATTTTTGTTCCCCAAAGAAGTGTATTGTTTGTTTTATGCAGTGCTTTTTTTCTAAAAAAAAAAAAAAGGTGCTAAAACTCACACGTGTCATACAACCCGCTTTGCCTACCCTACAAGGTTCCATCCAAAAAAGGTGCCGGAACTCCGTTCTGGGCGTTCTATGAGAAAAAAAAGCCCTGGTTTTATGTGTCTTGGAGTAAATTTAGCAGAAGAAACTTTGCATACTGAAATATAAATATTATTAGTGATCTGATCATGCCAACGTTATGCGATGCTGCCTAACCCTATTGACTTAAATAATCCAATCCTATCAATTTTCATGTTTTTCACTTATATTAACTTCCAAGAGGCAGACTCTACATCAGCGGTCCCGAACTTTTCTGGCTTTGCAAATTGTTGCTGGCAATGGGAGGGGGCAGCAGAGGGGATGGTGAACGGTGGGTGAGCATGTGGGCAGTTCCATTTGTGCAAGCAGCGGGCATGCACACACACAGCTCACATAAATGGAGCTGTGCATGCACACGTCCATCACTTGTGTGGCCCCATACTAGGCCACAGTCCAGGGGTTGATGACTCCTACCCTACATGACCAATTTTGTCCTATTTGAGATCTCTCAAACATAGGTAGCCAGGTGTTATTCTATAGCAGGGGTGTCAAACTCACAACATCATGTGATGTGTCGCGATGTATCGTGACTTTTTTGCCATTGCCAGCAATGGGGTGGGCGCAGTTTTGCTATGATGCATCTGGCCCATGGGCCGGCAGTTTTGACACCCCTGTTCTATAGGGTTTAAGTTCTCTACCAGTCCCTACACAAAGTTTTGTCCTACTGGAGACCAATCAGGTAGTCAGATGTTATTCCAAAGGGTTCAAGTTTTCCACCAAGAATTGAACTCGCAGACCTTTGCATTTCAGATGACTATATATAGAGTACATGAGCTTTAGGAACTAGCCAGGTCCTGGCCCTCAGCAAGATATACTGTACCAATGAAGGAGACTATTTGTAGCTCAGGGTTGAAATGAGGGGTCCTTGGTGCTCTCTGAGCTTATTTGTTTTCTTGCAGATGTTTCATTACCCTAACTAGATAACATCATCAGTACTGATGATGTTACCTAATTAGGGTAATGAAAGGTCTGCAAGAAAACAAGCAAGCTCAGAGAGCACCAAGTACCCCTTAGCTTAGGACAGGGGTAGGCAACCTTGGCTCTTTTATGACTCGTGGACTTCAGCTCCCAGAATTCCTGAGCCAGCATGACTCAGCTTAGAAATCTCTCCCTTTTCCCTCAGCGTGGCTGGCTCAGGAATTCTGGGAGTTGAAGTCCACGAGTCATAAAAGAGCCAAGGTTGACTACCCCTGGGTTAGGGTATACTGTAGCATCTTTTTATTTTAGCAAATATCCTCAGTAGATGGTAGAACCTGACTAGCCTAGTTTAAGATCAGAAGCTAAACAAGATTCCACCTAGTTAGTGCTTGGATGGGTGACCATCAGAGCCAGACATTATACATGCCCCTTTATTGTTTGAGGCTATACAAACCAAGCTGAAAACATCTGCATTTCTGAAATGACTGAAATGATCCTTTCTTAAATGCTCCAAAGAATACTGAGCAGCTGTTTTGCATGTGCAAGCTGTTCTCAGGGACAGTTTCTTTGAAAATCCCCACCTGATCTCAAGCAAAAACCCTGATGTGAGGAATAGCTTCTAAAATGAAATAGCCCCAAAGGAAAGAGTTTTCAGATCACCAAAAGTGGTACAAAGAAAAAAACAAAGAGGAAATATTGTAATAGAAAATAGTACAATGTTTTCGTGGTTCTCTGAAATGATTTAAAAATGGGTACATTAATTCTAGGCTACTTAACCAGCATAAAGGAGCAAGCTATATCAAGCTTTCAACTGCCAAAACTCTTTCAGTAAGTGAATTTGGGCGATGCTCACTTCCCAGGAATGAAACTAACAATTTCATGGGGATGAACATTAGTCAAGTAATACACCATTTATTTTAAAACATTTTAATTTACATATCATGCAAACAATAGAAACTTGCAACTTTACAATGCAATACTTTTTATTGGAAATCAATAATAAAATAATCAAATGTAAAGAGCAATTTTAATAGGAAAGATCAGGCTGTAGTAACACAATGCAATATTGACAAAAAGTTTTTTCCCCAAATATGAATAGCTAAGCTTAGCTACTCGAAGTCATGGTGTGTATTAACTTAAATATACTTGAAATCACAATCTCCTGTGCAGGTAGGTAGGTATTCACAGGAGGATTTTACTTAAAGATCATCTGTGAGAGGAGTGGGTAAGTTCATATATAATTCAATATCATTTGGAGGAGCAACAGGCTCCCAATTATGTACAGGTAGTCCTTGACTTACAACCACAATTGAGCTCAAAATTTCTGTTGCTAAGCAAGAGAGTTGTTATATGAATTTTCCCCCAGTTTGCGAGCTTCCTTGCCATAATTGTTAAATGATTCTCACAGCTGTTAAGTTAGTAGCATGGTTATTAAGTGAATCTGGCTTTCCTATTGACTTTGCTTGTCAGAAAGTCACAAAAGGTGATCATATGGTCCTGGGACACTGAAACCACCATTAAATACAAGCCAATTGCCAAGCGTCTGAATTTTGATCATGTGACTTTGAGGATGCAGTATCCTCAAAGTCACATGATCAAAATTCAGTGTGAAAAAAGTCACATGATCAAAAAACAGTGTGAAAAATGGTCATAAGTCACTTTTTTCAGTGCCATGGTGCTGAGCTTGTCAGCTAGACTAATGGGTCAGGTTTAAAACCTGAGTGCCATGCAATGGGGTGAGCTCCTGATTCTTGCCTCAGCTCCTGGCCCACCTGGCAGTTCAAAAGCATGCAAATGCAAATAGATAAACGGATACCACATTACCCATTACCAGTCCTAAATCTTATCAAACAAGACAATACTACACATCTGACAATCTGGGGAGAAATCAGCCCTAAGAATACCTGGCACCCAAGGCAGGCCAAAGAGAAGCAGCTTTTTAGTCGGTGGGAGTTTAGCAAATGGGAGGGGGGACATGATAGCAGAGTTCCATTATCTCAGCGGCTGCCACAAAGAAGAGGGAGTCAAGCTATTCTCCAAAGCGCCTGAAGGCAGGACGAGAAGCAATGGGTGGAAACTGATCAAGGAGAGAAGCAACCTAGAACTAAGGAGAAACTTCCTGACAGTTAGAACAATTAACCAGTGGAACAACCTGCCTCCAGAAGCGGTGAATGCTCCAACACTGGAAGTTTTTAAGAAGAGACTGGACAGCCATTTGTCTGAAATGGTATAGGGTTTCC